TTTTTTGCGTGATTGATCATCAACTCAATAATCTCTCTCTTAAATAAAATTTTGATCTTGTTTCCTTCAACCTAAACCGTGGTCACATGATCTACTACCTATGAGTTATAAACACATTATTCTAGTACAACATCTTTATTTATTAGTATTTTGAAGTCTTAAAAAGATGGGTGATTAATAAATTCACCAAGGAATTTTGCATTTGACTTTACTTGTGGTTATACTCATATTCACGTTAACTTTAGTTATTGTATCGCTCATATTTATATTATATAATATTCTCATTCTCTGTATCATAGAAGTAAAACTAAAAGTATGAATAATTATTTTTTGTGAAATTAGAGTAGGGAGATTATGATATATTTCACCATATGCTCTAAATATATATTTTTTATGCAAGGTCCATATCAAATCTTATCCCAAACGATACGGATGTAAAATACTATTATAACTCACTTGTTTAGTGCAATTGTATTGTATATAAGACACATAACTCATCTAGTATATCCACATATGCTAAGTGGATTTTGCTATTGTGAGAATAATATGCTAGTGACTCGTATTCAAATTTTTTAGCTCTATAAAAGACACAAGAATTAAGAGTGCATAACTTATATATTGTAAATAACATATTAGTTCATGAAAATTTTTCCCTAATAACGATATTATTACAACGTATTACTTTTCAATATTAAATTAATTTTATTATATAAGATTATATAACTCTTTCTAATAAATTATAAAGTATATATATAGAAACATTGATGCTTATAGCCAGTAGTTGGGCTCTACAAAATAGGTTAACTTTACATTATAGTTTGCTATTTGTAGTATTGTTGGTAATATTATTATCTTTCCTTTTTATCTAATCATTCATACATTTCTAATGTAAGCTCTCTTTTTCTAATCACTCAATTGGCTATAATTAGCTTTTATAATATCAATGGTTAGAGTATTCTCTTATTTTTAAAAGGTGTTGACATGATTTTCTTAAAAAATTTAGGTATACTTTAATTCAACTCAAACATTAGCTTGAAGCAATTTAGAATGCGGTCTTTTCTACGCTAGAATGGTGATATAGTGATTATACAGTCCAAAAGTCAAAGAAGAAATTTCTAGAAGAAAAAATAATTTAATATGTAAAATTAAGAACTAAATTATAAAATATACATGGGTAGTGCATATAGCTATAAAAAGTAAGATATACGTCTTTATAAAAATTCTATAATGAGTGACCAACTACAATTATTCTAATTTAAGCATAAATAATTATTATTTTAGTTACTAATGTGATACACGTAACTATGAAATAAATCTCAAAAAAAAAATTGAGATTGTATTATGCTGTGGGTAAATAAATAAATGCCATTGAGCTATTTTTTATATTAAATTTAAAAGTAATAATTTATATTATTAAGCACCAAATATTTGCTCATGTGAGAAAGTAAAGTAATCTATAGTCTATATACATATATAGCCAATCAATCAAACATATTAAAATTATGATGACCACAGTCAAAATTATATGGTGGGCTAGCATTAAGTATAATTTATAAAAAATAATACATTAAAGACAAATTTTTTTTAACCGCTATATAGTTTGTCTGAATTTTTTTGCATATATAAATTTTACTGCCTAGGAACAGTGATGTGCACACCTAAGTATAGTCTAATAAACTTAAAAATGACTAACTCTTCAATATCATCATTAATTGACGTATCTCATTACACTGAAAAAACGCAAGGAAAATTTAAAAACTACAAAATAAACACCCTAAAAAGTTTTAAAATTTGTTAAAAACACCCTAAATTTTTATAATTTATAAATACACAAAACTATTAGATATTACATTAAAATTAAAAAATTATTAAAAATTTTCAAAATTTGGAGGGGTAATCTATAATGTACTAAATTTTAAGGTTTTTTTTTGTAAATTTCAAATGTAATAGATTTTTAATTATTATTTTCAAAAATGTTATGTATAACATTGACCATGAAAACTTTTTCCTAAACCTATAATTTTTAAAGGTGTATGATATTTTTGCAAAAAAATAATTTTCTAGGGATTGTTAGTAATATTGCATATTATTTTAGTTTCTATAGGTTAGAAACTCTCATGATATTTCCTTTGTAAATTATGAAATTTAGGTGTTTTTTGCAATTTTTTAAACTTTTAGGCATTTTTTACATTTTTAAAATTATTTATAGACAATTTATAATTCCTATGCTTTCAATTTACTAATTAATTTGAAATATTCAGAGTGTTTTTTATAAAATTTAAAGGTTTTTTATAACGTTTAAAACTTTAAGGGTGTTTTCTATGATTTGTAAATTATGTAGCTGATATTTGTAATTCCTATATTTTCAATGTACTGTTAGATTGGAAATTATCAGGTTTTTTGTAATTTTGATAAACATATTATAAATTACACAACTATAGTTTAATAAACATATTATAAGTATCTAACAAATACATATATAACTATATAATACATATTTATAAGTAATACATACGTGATTATCTCTCTCTCTCAAGTTATAACTTAAAGCAATATACTTATGTATATAATATGTATGTATATATAATATATAGTTGTATAGTAATATGTAAATTTATACTAATACATAATTATATAAATATAATAAAATTAATCTAATGTTTAAATAATATTTTTGCAAAAAAATCAAATAAAAATAAATAAAAAATTTCGGGCTAGCCCGGTTTGACCTGAACCCGGACCCGGGCTCAGCCCGGCACCCGAGCTACGAGTCCAAGCTAAGAATTTTGCTTAGTCAGGACCTGAAAATTTTGGCTGGGCCAGCCCGACCCATTTGAAACAGGCCTAATCATAAGATAAGATTAAGTTTAGACTCATTTTTGCTTAAATGCACTAGAGTTAGTCTATCTAAGGGTGGATCTTAAAAAAACTATTTTAAGAGTAATAATTTAAACTCTAAAAAAATAGTTCAACGTTGGAAGCCATTCAGATCATGTATACATCCATCAAAACTATTTTTTTATACTTGTCAAATACACGCACTCATTAAATTTAGGTCGCACTTTAAATTGATTTTGTCTAAAACTGCTTTAGTTTGGACCCGACTCCTCCAGTCCATAACTAACCAAATTTAGAAAATCAAAATTAAACTTACAAGCAAACTAGGTTATTTCTTTCTAAAATTTTGCCAATCAACAAAACACTCTAAAAATTTAAACATGACCAGATTCTAAAGAGTTGTCGAACTGATCCTAACTAGAGTCAGAAGTCATTACAAGCTCAGGCAAGACAACGATAACCATTAAAAGTTGGTTAGATTAATCTGCACCATTATGACTTAATTATGAGTCATACATTTGATTCCCATAAATTTACTATTAACTAAAAAAATAAGTTATCTTTGTACATTTGTTTAAGTTTTAGGCTTATTCGGCCGTATGCTGGCCCAGCCTAGCTTGCATTTCATATTGGGCCAAATCGAGCAAAATTCCTATTGATGCGAACAGTGTTCTCGTCGGACTAATTCATATTGGTCCAATCCAGCAAACTTTCTGCTCCCAAGTCCACAAATTGCGAAGCTAAAATATCTTTGGGTATTTGCATATATACCCCTTAAAGCATTCGTATCTACAAACTTGCTTTCTAAATCTTACTATTTACAAACTAACCCCTCATGTCATCAATTTTGGAAAAATTACCCTCAAAACAATTAATCACCAAGTTAATAAGCTAATTCGCAAATAAATGTAAAAATTATTAACAAAATGCTCAAATATTTAGCACTAAGTTAATGATTTGTTGATTGGGTGGGTATCTTTTCACAAAGTTATGATTTAAGCCTTTGAGGAATTTGTTTGCCAAATACTAAGTTTTGGGAGGTATTTCTACAAATACCCTATGATGGCTAATGGGCATATATATATATATATATATTATATATATATATATATATATATATATATATATATATATATTATATATATATAAAATATATATATATATGAAAACTTGTATCAATCTTAAAAGTGGATAGGGAATAGTGTGTTCACAGCAAAGTTTTTAACCACTCAATATTACCTAGGGCATCCATGGTATTATATTAATAAATGTGTGGCTTACAAACTTAGTGCGACATCACACTATAAGTTGATAGTAGTCTTGATATATATATATATATATATATATATATATATATTACTATATATATATATATATATATATATAATATATATATATATATATATATATATATGAGCAAAAAATGGGTATGGCTTGGTACCAAGCGGCAAATTTTGTGCTTGGTAGTGCATGTGTCACATCCTCATCCACTCACTACCCATGTGATGTGGTCCCATATTTGAATGAGTGGAGGGGGATGTGCCACATCACTACCAAGCACAACTTATTGTGGCTTGGTACAAGCATACCCATATTGCTCTCTCTCTCTCTCTCTTTATATATAATATATATATATATATATATATATATATATATAATATATATATATATATATATATATATATATATATATATTAATATATATATATAATATATATATGGATTAATGTTTATCATTGTCAAGGAAGCGAGATTTCCCTTCATTATCAAGGAGGATTGTCAAGGAGGAGATTTCCCTCCTTGACAATGATGTGACGCAATCCCTATGATGGGGATATCTCTCTTCTACTTTATTCCCACCATGGGGATTGTGGCATAGGGGTGGCAAACGGTTCGGATATATCCGAACCGATCCGCATCCGTATCCGAACGGATGCAGATATGGTAAGCTAATTTTAAAATCGGACGGATACAGTTTCGGATACGGATCTGATTTCGGATTTTTTTCGGATACAGATTCGGATACGGATATAAAGGTTACGGATACGGATATTCGTAATATAATAATGATTCGGGTCGTATCCAAAGTTACAATTACAAACCCGTAACCGCTAACCCAAAACCCAACTTCAGCTAAAAACCCTAGCCTCATATCCCATTCCCATTCCTCCACTCAATTTCCAGCCTCCTCTGAAAATTCGTCAGATCCCGACAGTCTCGAGACTCCCGACCCGTCGCCGGCGTCATCTTCGTCGTTCGCCGGATCTTGCGTTGTTTTGTCCAGGCGTCGTCTTAGATCCTGTCTCGCCTTGTCTCGTCCACGCGTCGTCTTCGTCGGATCTCAATTCTGCTTCTATGGGCAATCTCAATTCTATTCGTGTTCATCTTCAACAAGAGAAGGGAGCTTCTTGCTGTAATCTTGGGCTTCACTCTCTACTAGGCATCCAACTTCTTCATCCGCTGCTCTCTCTCTAGATACCCTCTTTTCATCAACACCTCCGTCTCCTTGCTCCACTCCTTCATCACCTACGCTTCAGGTAATTTTTTTTTTGAAGTAAATAATTTAATTGGGACATGGGTTTGTGGGTACTTTGTGAAATTCGATGTTTGTGTCGATAATGGCGAGTTTTAGTGGGAGAAAAAAGAGATTTTGTGCCCTTTCGGTATGTGGGTAATTTGTAAAATTTGATATTGTTGTCTGTAAGAGGGGCTTATTGAGATTCGATATTGTTTTCGGTGTTATTGGAAATAATTTGGGGTGCTTTTGGGTTTGTGGGTAAATAGCATTTCAATGGAATAGCTGAAGGTTGCTTTGTGCCTGGAACCTTGAAAATTGCTTCTTTTTATGGTAATTTTGTATTTGGTTGTGTAGTTTAGGGTTTGTTGGATTCGTTTGAAGCTAATTGGAATATGGTTATAATGGTGGATTTTAGTTGATTTTTGGCACTTCTGAGTATGTAGCTAGCTGGGTTAGTCTTGCATGATATTGTTTTGTGCGATAGGGGCGTATGGAGATTTGAGACTGTTGTTAGGCTTGTCGAATAATTGCGGGGTTTGAGTCTGTGGCTAGATAGTATATCATTGGGTTTAAGTGCTTGGGGTGATGTAGTAGCTGGTCTTTTGATGCTTAGACTCATATTGGTGTTATGATGTATGGTGAAAAACAATTGAGGCTTTGTTCTAGCTGTCGTGTCTGTGTTATAATTCAATTTGATTTTCGGAGACTTTGTTGAGATAGGCTTGATTCAGTCATTTGGATGGGATTTCAGATGAATGAATGGTTAGGACGAGTGGTTGACATATAGTTGAGGCAGTGAAAAGGATATGAGTAATTTTGTAACTGTCTTTGGACTTGGTTGTTGTGTGTGTCTGCTGCCTGTTCTTAGAGGAGTCTTCTGTTTGCAATCTATTCTCAGAAACTTTTATATTATATTTCTGTAACCGTCTTCAAAAACTATCTATTACTATATAGAGTAATTCTAATTATGTGAATTAAGGAGAAGCTTACAACCACATACATTTACCTATTTGGTTGTAATTTATGGTTATGTGTACTAAATTACTAATTCATATCTGATTCATATCCATTTGTTGAATATCCGTTTATATCCGTGATCATATCCGATCCGATTCTCAAATATCTGAACCGTATCCGTTTCCGATAAGTGCGGATATGGTTAAGGTTTTTTCTTACCGAAGATGATCCGTATCCATTTATAAAAAGCGAATATGTATATGGTAAGTGTCATATCCGAACCGTATTCGCTCCAATAACACCCCTTGTCGCATCATTGTCAAAGAGGGAAATCCTCTCCTGGACAATGATACCCATTACTCTCTCTCTCTCTCTCTCTCTATATATATATATATATATATATATATATATATAAAAAAAACCCTGATTTCCTCCTTATTTTCTCTCTCCTAGGGTCTTTCGTTTCCCTTTCCTCTTTCGTAGTCTTTTTATGTTCCAATCGCTGCTCTTTCGGATTCGCTTGGTGCAGGTTGGGAACGGCTCAATCTAATTCCGATCCGATAAGATTCAATCCTGCCCGTCCATCTCGAGGCCCAGTTCCTGCCGTGCATCAAGTGAATTCGAAAGAGTCCGATGAAATCGCGATCAGATCTCAATTGGTAACACTTCAATTGTTCCTACGACGTATTTCTATATTTTTCGCTAATTACTTTTTTGATGCTTTGTCTTGTGTTCAGTCCTTTTTTATTATTGAATCTTTTACCTTCGTACAAATTAATTTTTATGTTGATTGGATGATTAAAGCACTCTACTTAGCTTCGAGCATAACTGAGAGTATGATTTGGCTGTTATTTGTAATAAGAATTTTACTTATATTATTGCGATTAGTTTAAACCAAAAGGTAGTATACACAGTAAAAGATAACGATGCGTGTTTGTGTAATTAATTTTACCTCTCAAGTTCTGCGCGCTTTGTCTGGGTATTTTCTCTCTGAATGTTGTTAGGAAATCATCTGTAGTAGAATAGTATACACAAAGTAAAAGATAACGATGCGTGTTTGTGTAATTAATTTTACCTCTCAAGTTCTGCGCACTTTGTCTAGGTATTTTCTCTCTGAATGTTGTTAGGAAATCATATGTAGTAGAATATGAAGCTTGGCTTGTATTGGACTGATTGTTTGTACCCCCGCGAGTGGCCCAAGGGTTTGCTGTTGGGGCCTTGGATTCGGGGGTCCAATGATGAACTGTTGTCTATGTCACCCTTGTCTTCAACATTCATTCGATAAGTATTGCATGTCTCGTGCTATTCACTTGGGCCTGGGCGGCATGGAGGACACGGTGGCTTTGAGGTTTTCCTTTGTTAGTTCAATCAGCATTGGTATTGGGATATGGGGTTTTGGGCCCCCACCATAGATGGCAGCGTGCCGCCGCGTAGTAGGCTGTGCTCCCTTGTGGTGGCATAACTTAGATGCTAAATCTTGTTCCTCTGTGGTTGGTGCTCGAACGTTGAATTCCAAATACCTGACTGATGCCCCCCAGAGAAAAATTCTCTGTGAGAATGAATCTCTGCTGTTATTGTGGATGATGAAATTAATATGGTACAAGCACTGAAATATCTATACTCTTCAAGTAAAACAACTGACAACATTTGCAGGATTGCAACCTAGGGGAGCACTGATGACTTGAACAGAGCTGATGTTATTATTGGTTTTGGTCCTTGATATCGCCATCCAAGGCTGAACCTATGTTCTCTTAACAAGGATTATACATAAAGCCTGATTTTTGACAGAATAAAATGTGGAACTTAAAATGATAGGGTTTGCTTGCAGTTCACGATCAAAAAGGTTTTGCATATGACAGAAACATTAGCTACCGCTTTGTGTCATTTTCCTGTGAACTGCTAGCCATAATACAATAAAATAACAGGGAAAAACGAATGGACCATGGAAGAGGGATGGATTTGTTGGAGCGATGTAAGGCAATCCTCAGGATCCAAAAACTTCGCCGGTTTGTATCCTACACAGGCTTCTACTGCTTTGCCACCCTCATCACCTATGCCTACACCAGCAACACGTATGTTCCCTCAGTTTGGAAACTTCTCCCTCATTCTAGAAACTTCCAGAACCGTTGATATCCTTATGATTTCTAATTTTCATAGACTGGTTGCAGGACTAGGGCTGGCATGTCGAGGGCTGATCAGTTCTATGCCTCGTACCCTGCTGGTACAGAGCTCCTCACCGACACTGCTAAGGTTTGTTCCCTTCTTCTTCCTCCTCTTTTTCATTTCAAATTAGTTAAGATTGATGAATTGATTAAAAGGGAAAATTGCACATAACCCCCCATATCTATACCTTCAGCTGCATTAGCCCAATCTCCATCAGCAGCAGGAACAAATCTTTCAATTGCGGAGCCTAATTTTATAGAGGGAGCTCTTTCGAATGAGTCTCCATGAAGAAGCATACGTTACTCAGAAGACTCAATGGAAAAATGAGTTGAGAGGGGTTTAGTGCAACTGAAAGTGTAGTGATGGGGTTAAGTGCAATTTGCCCTTAATTAAATACCGATTTGGACTAATTGTTGCCTAGCCCTTTATGAATTTAGTTTGAGAATTGGAGACTTGTCGGTATTAAACTAGTAATTTCTTATGTATTTTTGAATTTATTAGGAGTAATGAAATGTTAGAGTTGGTTTAATTATGTTATTTAGAGCTTGCTTTTAAGGAAAGTTAATGTGAACGACAGTTGTACAAGGCAGCTCTTGGTAATTGTTTCGAAGAGGAAGATTGGGGACCGATAGAGTTCTCTATAATGGCGAAGCATTTTGAACGCCAAGGCAAACCTCCATATGCATACCATGCTGTAAGTTAACTATTCTTTCGTAAATTATGCTTTTCTGCGTCCTACATATAGTATTCATTTGTTTAAACATATTTGATATATTTATTTTCATCACATTGAATCGGTTCTAGGCATTTCCTGTGCATTTTGTATAAACCAGATACTTGTTAGGACACTGCATTGGTGTTATATAAAGTGCATGATCGCTCAAACAAATCCGCTCTTTTCCTGCTCCCTACAGATGAATGCTTTGGTTCTATTCTGATATTTTTTAACTGCTTGTTAATATTCCAGCAATACATGGCCCATCTTCTTTCTCATGGACAGCTCGACGACGGAAGTGGGTAGAAATTTGTGCCGATAGAGCAAATTTGCCAAGCTTCTCTTCAAAATCTATGGCAGTTCTGCACTATGTCGAAGTTTTTGAAGGCCTTGTTAATTTTCTTGGTACCTTTCTTATTGAAGCCCGGACAGTGTAAGGAAATGAACTCATTCTGGACGAAAGCTTAACCCTTATTATTATTATTATTATTATTATTATTTCATATTTCTGTTCGCCAAAGGAGGCTGATACTGTTGACATAACACCAGAGTTTATTTTTTTGGTTTTGCGCTTAATCATCTGGTATAATCAGGAATGGCTTTACCATCTAGTCAACAAGCCTTACGTGTATTGTTATGATGAAGACGAAAATGTGGTGCAAAGAATAGCTCATTGCAAAGTTCTGAAAGAATTTATTTCGAGCAGAATATGTATTTTGTTTCAGACAAAGTTTGCAGAGAAGAGGGGAAAAAAGATTAAGGAGTGATTTGCAGATAACCTCTCTTATCTGTTTTTATCTATTCTTTATGTTTTTAGAAAAGTATGAACAAAAAAGAGAAGCATAGACGTCTCTATTTTCTTCATTACAAACATGCAATTCGACTCCCTTCAGCACTTCAACATGCAGCTTGGATCTCATACTTCGAATGCCCTAAGGGGGTGTTAATGGTTGGGACAAATTGGGGTCAAGAGGAAAAATTGTCCCAATGGAATAATTTTATCCTTTTGAGATATTTCGAGTGGGGTAAAATGGGATAAGTGAGATAATGGAACAATTTGAGCATTTGATTTGATAATTTATGTGGGATAATTGATGATGTGGTACCTTATGAAAATATAATTTTTATCTATTAATTACTTCTAAATTAACTTATCCAATTGATTTAGTATATTATTATAATATAAACATTATTTTACTTTAAAATAAAATATAATATGTTGTACTATAATTACTAATTAATACTATTAATTATTATATTACATTACATTATATTATATTAGCATGCTATACTATATAATAATTAATATAATATAAGATCAACATATTTAATATAATATATTATTTTATTTATACATAAATATAATATGTTATACTATAATTACTAATTAATATTATTAGTTATTATATTATAATGTAGGCGTCTAAAAATGCTGATAGATATCCAAATACAGCTCAAGACAAAAAGAAGATAATGAATGTCAGAGAGGATCATCCAAAGATCAAAAGAACACAAGAAACAACCTTAAGCTGTCTCGAAAATCCCGAGACAGTCAAGACTGTCTCGCGTGGCGCTCGCACGCGAGACAGTGTTGACTGTCTCGCACGCAAGACAGTTCTGAAGAGTTCAGAAACTGCTGAGGAATGTGCATGAGACGTGGCCATTAACTGTTAAAGAACGTGGAAGACGTTGATGGCGAGAATCTCGTTGATAACTACCTAAATAACGATATCTAAAACGTAGGAGAGTAGTTACAAAACCGTCGGGCAGTTTAGGCTTTCCGAGACAGTCATGGCTGTCTCAGAAGCCGAGACAGTCACAACTGTCTCGGCCGCCGAGACAGTCACGACTGTCTCGAAAACACAATTTCCCCCATGATCTCCTGATTTCAGTTATACTTTCCAGAGGCTATAAATACCCCCCGTGATCATTTTTGAGGAGGATCCAAGAGCAGAGAGCATAAAGCATAGAGTTATTATTGAAGCAATTGATCAGAGATTTTCAAAAGGCTTGAGTGAATTTTAAGAGTTCATCTTCTTTCAACAATTGGGAGATTCCTTAAGATGTAAGCGTTGACTTGTTCTTGAGAAGTGTGTTCATCTTACTTCGATAAGATATTCACTGACTCTATTCTTGTTCCTAAACGAAAGAAGAATCCCCAAAGCCTTCACAATTCAATCAGAATTCGTGATTTGATGGTCCACGGGCTAACGCACCCCCGGCAAAGGCGAAGATCCCACAAAAGCAGGAGTTGATAAACAATTTCTGTGTTATTTTCTAAAGAAATTGTAACTTTTTCTTTTTGTTGTGTAATAATTATTATATTATATTATAATAGTATGTCATATATATAATAACTAATATAATATATAAACAATGTATTTAATATAATATCTAATTTAATATATTAGATCAGAGTCATAGGTTAAAATTTACCGCATAAAATATAATAATATTTTTTATTCAATATAATATTATTTAAAATACTATATTGTAATTAAAATATAGTATAATATTATAATTTCTGTGTTATTTTCTAAAGAAATTGTAACTTTTTCTTTTTGTTGTGTAATTCATTGTAAGCGACTAAAATTTTAATGGATTCCATAATGAAAACAATTTCCGACGAAAACATATATTACATTATATTAGTATGCTACATTATATAATAATTGATATAATATATGAACAATATATTTAATATAATACTTTAATAATATATTATTTAATTTAATATATTATAATATAGTATCATAGGCATATAATGCTACTATAAAAAATACTAAATATTTTACTTTATTATCATAGGATATTAGATGATAATTACAATAATATATATTAAAAGGTATCATGTTATAGTATTAATATATTATATCTATTTAAACTATTATAGTTATATATTATATTATATCATAAATATTTTATTAATATTAGTAACTTATTATATTATATTTAATAGTATGTCATAGTATATAATAACACTAATATAACTATTTATAACAATGTACTTTATATAATACTCTAATTTAATATATTAGCATCAGAGTCCAGTAGGGTTAAAATTTACCGCATAAAACTATATAATATTTTGATTCAATATATTTATTTAAACAATACTATATCTGTAATTAAAATATAGTATAATATTATATGATAATTACTATGATATATAAAAAATATCTAAAATGTACTATATTATAGTACAATAATATTTATTATATTAATTTAATTTAATATAATATAATCACATAACATGATTTATATTATATTATATTTTATAATTAAATGTAATATACTAATATATTTATTAATTTTAATAAGTTATATTATATTATACTATATTATTATATTAGTTTAATATAATACACTATAATATAATTGCTACAATAAAATATCAACTACAATTAATATAATATATTATATAATAATATATGTTATTAAAATATTATATAATATTATAATAAATATGTTGTACTATATATAATATATATAATATAGTATGTGATATTGCATAATAATATACAATAAATATCATAAAATAAATTATACATATAAATTAAACTATGATAATATTTTATTTTATTACATGATAATATAATATAATATATTGAATATATTATTACTTTATATTTTATATATCATGTCATATATTTATAATATAATTAGCATGTATTAGTAAAGTAATACAAAAAGGTTTGAAAATTATCTCAATTGCCTTCAAAGTGGAACAAAATTGTTCCAATATGGAGGATGAGATAAAATTTTTTACTATTGGGACAAAAATTTTATATATTAGTGGGGTAATTTTATCCCAAGTGGTGAAATTGTTTCACTAGTATTCCAAAAAACCAATAACACATAAATGTAATATCATTGTTCCATTGTCCCAACGAATAACACCATGAAATAGAATCCCTAAAAGTATCCAATTATCCCCCCAAATGTCCCAATGAATAACCCCCTAAGCTCAATTTTGAAGTTAATCGACATGAATTATTCGTCAAAAACTTGCTCTTTATAGCCCAAAAGACTTTGCATCATTGACGTGCCTCATCAGTTTATATAATGTCCGTGGTTCATGCAACAACTCGTACCGCCTTAACTGCTCGAAATCTAGACAAGAACTTAAAAAATGAAGAAGATAAAATTCGACGTTCTGAGACTTGAGAAATTTGATGGAAACAGATTTCGGATTCTGGAAAATGCAGATAGAGGATTATCTGTATCAGAAAAATCTGTATCAACCACTATCGGGGAAGAAGCCAGATTCTATGAAGGAAGAAGAGTGGAACCTTCTAGATAGACAAGCCCTCGGAGTTATCAGATTGACGTTGACTCGCAATGTTGCGTTCAACATAGCAAAGGAGAAGACCACGGCAGGTCTTATGGCAGCTCTCTCAAATATGTATGAGAAGCCATCAACCGCGAACAAAGTTCATTTGATGCGGCGGTTATTCAATCTAAAAATGGCGGAAGGCGCGTCAGTAGCACAACACCTCAATGAACTTAATACGGTTACAACCCAATTGAGTTCAGTTGAGATTGAGTTTGATGAAGAAGTTCGGGCGTTGATATTGTTGTCTTCCCTACCAGAGAGTTGGAACGCTACAGTCACAGCTGTGAGTAGCTCGTCGGGAAACAGTAAGTTGAAGTTCGACGACGTTCGTGATTTGGTTCTCAGTGAGGAGATCCGACGAAGAGAAACGGGTGAAGCTACAACCTCTTCAGTATTGAATACAGAGTCAAGAGGTAGAAATTCAACCAGAGGAAACGGACGAGGAAAATCAAACTACAGAGGTAGATCAAAGGACAGGAGGTCCAAATCAAGGAATCCAAGCTACAGCTCGAAGGCTATCGAGTGTTGGAATTGTGGAAAGACCGGGCATTACAAGAATCAGTGCAAGAGTGCACAGAGAGAGAAGGAGGCGAAGGCAGAGGTGAATGTCACCTCCACTTCAGGAGGAGACGACGCATTGATATGCTCTTTGGAGAGCAAGGAGGAATCTTGGGTGTTAGATTCAGGAGCGTCGTTCCACGCTACTTCTCAGAAAGAATTCTTCAAGAAGTATACTCCCGGAAATCTTGGATACGTATATCTTGGTGATGATCAACCATGTGCTATTGTGGGCAAAGGCGTGGTGAAAATTAAGTTGAACGGGTCAGTATGGGAGCTGAAGGATGTCAGGCATATTCCCGACCTGAGAAAGAATTTAATATCCGTAGGCCAGTTGGCTGGCGAAGGATATACCACGACCTTCCATGGAGATGATTGGAAGATCTCAAAGGGCGCAATGACAATTGCCCGAGGCAAGAAGACTGGTACCCTGTATATGACAGCAGGTGCACGTTGTTCGATCTCAGTTGCAACTAGCAATGAGACCTCAAAGCTGTGGCACCAGAGACTCGGTCATATGAGTGAAAAGGGGATGAAAATCATGCACACAAAGGGGAAACTCCCAGGACTGCAGTCAGTGGAGATGGATATGTGTGAAGAATGTATACTTGGAAAGCAGAAGAGAGTCAGCTTTCAGACAAGTGGCAGAACCCCCAGGAAGCAGAAGCTAGAGCTCGTTCACTCAGATGTGTGGGGACCAACAACCACCGCGTCCATTGGTGGAAAACACTACTTCGTGACTTTTATCGATGATCACTCTCAGAAAGTGTGGGTCTACTTTCTGAAGCATAAGTCAGAAGTATTTGAGGCTTTCAGGAGATGGAAAGCTATGGTCGAGAATGAGACCGGTCTGAGAATAAAGAAGCTCAGGACCGACAATGGCGGTGAGTATGAAGACACCGGATTCAAGAAGTTCTGCTATGAGCACGGGATCAGAATGGAGAGAACCGTGCCCGGCACGCCTCAGCAAAATGGTGTAGCTGAGCGGATGAACCGAACATTGACAGAGAGAGCCAGAAGCATTCGGGTACAGTCAGGCCTACCGAAGCAGTTCTGGGCAGAAGCGGTCAACACAGCAGCTTACTTGATCAACCGAGGTCCATCGGTTCCATTGGAGCACAGAATACCAGAGGAGGTATGGTACGGAAAGGAGGTAAAACTCTCACATCTTAAAGTTTTCGGTTGTGTAGCTTACGTGCATATTAGTGATCAAGGCAGGAATAAGCTTGATCCCAAGTCAAAGAAATGCACTTTCATCGGCTATGGTGAAGATGAGTTCGGCTACCGCATTTGGGACAACGAAAACAAGAAAGTGATCAGGAGCAGAGATGTGATATTCAACGAGAAGGTGATGTACAAGGACATGCACAAGACAGATGACTCAGAGAGCGAGTCAATATTTGTAGATGCAGATGATGTCCCGAGTAACCTCTCGGAAGAACCCAATGCAGAGGGTCCTCAGCAAGAAGAGCCTGTTGGACAAGATGGTGCGCAGGAGCCCGACGCACCAGCTCCGATATTAAGAAGATCTTCTCGTCCTCCTGTACCCAACAGGAGATACATGAACTATCTGTTGTTGACAGATGGTGGGGAGCCTGAAAGCTTTGATGAAGCTTGTCAGTGTGGAGATGCGAGCAAGTGGGAGCTTGCAATGAAAGATGAGATGAAGTCTCTCATATCAAACCAGACGTGGGAACTAGCTGAGTTGCCCACGGGTAAGAAGGCACTCCACAACAAATGGGTGTACCGGGTGAAAGAGGAGCAGGATGGTTCCAGAAGATATAAAGCCCGGCTAGTTGTCAAAGGTTTCCAGCAGAAGGAAGGAATTGACTACACCGATATTTTCGCTCCCGTGGTGAAGCTAAATACTATCAGGACCGTGATGAGTATTGTAGCAATTGAAGATCTTCATCTCGAGCAGTTAGACGTGAAGACGGCGTTTCTTCACGGAGATCTAGAAGAGGAGATATACATGCACCAGCCAGAAGGTTTCTCAGAAGAAAAGAAGAAAAAGAACCTGGTGTGCAGACTCAAGAAGAGCTTGTATGGCCTGAAACAAGCCCCAAGACAGTGGTACAGAAAGTTTGACGGCTTCATGCACAAGGAAGGTTTCCAGAAGTGCAACGCCGACCACTGTTGCTACTTCAAAAGATATCAGTCCAGCTATATCATCCTACTGCTGTATGTTGATGATATGTTGGTTGCAGGAGCAGATATGGAGGATATCAAGAGTTTGAAGCAGCAGCTGTCAAAGGAGTTTGACATGAAGGACTTGGGTCCAGCGAAGAAGATCCTTGGAATGCAAATCACGAGAGATAAGAAGAGAGGTCTCTTGCAGTTATCTCAGACGGAGTACATCAACCGTGTTTTGCAGAGATTCAACATGGGCGACGCCAAGCCTGTGAGCACACCCTTGGCCAGTCATTTTCGCTTATCGAAGGATCAGTCTCCTCAGTCAGAAGAAGAGAAAGAGAGTATGGCTCAGGTACCTTACGCCTCAGCTATCGGAAGCTTGATGTACGCTATGGTCTGTACGAGACCAGACATTGGCCATACAGTGGGAGTGGTCAGCCGGTTTATGTCGAATCCAGGAAAAGCTCATTGGGAAGCGGTCAAGTGGATTCTGAGATATCTACGAGGCACCACACAGAAGTGTTTGCACTTTGGTAAGGGAGAGGTAGAAGTGCAAGGGTACGTAGATGCAGACTTCGGCGGCGAAGTTGATCACCGAAGAAGCACCACCGGCTATGTATTCACCGTTGGAACTACAGCTGTTAGTTGGATGTCACAGGTACAGAAGATCGTTACCCTATCCACTACAGAAGCTGAGTACGTTGCAGTGACTGAAGCCAGTAAAGAGATGATATGGCTTCAAGGTTTGTTGACAGAGCTGGGATTCAAACAGGAGAAGAATGTTTTGCACAGTGATAGCCAGAGTGCGATACACTTGGCGAAGAATTCAGCATTTCATTCTAGAACGAAGCATATTGCGCTTCGGTACCACTTCATCAGATCCCTGTTGGAAGATGACGTGTTGAAACTGGAAAAGATTCCAGGAAGTAAGAATCCAGCAGACGATGATGCAGGCGAAGACGGCGAACGCCATCCTTCGGTGAACGCACACTTCGGCGAACGCAGAGTTGGGCGAACGCACCCTTCGAAGTCTGCGTTCGACCCCCCCATTCGAGCTCTGCGTTTTTCGACCTCTGCGTTCGCCCCCCTTCTTTTGGCGTCCGCGGGTCGCTGGCGACAGGCTGTCGCCAGCTCATCCCCTCATCGCATATTTAAACCCCCCGCTAGGGTTTCGGTGGTCGTAGCTTTTTACCCCTCCTCCGATTTTTCTTCTGGCGGCGACCAAGAACGCAGCAGCGTTCCCATCTCCAGCGCTCAATTGATTTTGAGGGGAGATTAAGAAAAAGATTTAAGGAGAGAGAGGAATATAAAAAGGGGTTTTTATAGTGGGTTATTCATTTGTTCTCAAGTGAAAATTGAAAGGGTTCATACCCTTTGATTATTAACACTGTAGCTACAGTGTTTATCTGAGAAATCTCAGTTTTGAGATACGCTCCTAAATTGTAATTTCTTGTTTAATTAATAAGAAATTATCTGTGTGGCTCCCGAGGACGTAGGCAGTTGCCGAACCTCGTTAAATCTTGGTGTACTTTTTCTATACTGCGTTTCTGTTGCATTAGGGGTTTAGGCGTTAAATTCCCAACACATGCAACAACTCGTACCGCCTTAACTGCTCGAAATCTAGACAAGAACTTAAAAAATGAAGAAGATAAAATTCGACGTTCTGATAAAATGTCAATAGAGATGTATGAAACAACCATGACGAGCAGACTTCCAATAATCAAAACAAATGAAAACTGGATGCAGACGCACTGAGAATGTATCACAGAAAACGTTACTTCTTCTCTTGAACTATTATTACACGCACCAATTGTTCGAAATCATCATCATCATCATTAAGTTGTATAAATACAGAAATATCATTCCGATTTGGCTGGCTCAGCCCGATATCAGAATTGTGCTAATACAAGGACTTAGGCAGCTTCAAGCATACAATCTGGAGCCTTGATAGTATTTATAGGTCACTTCCAATCCAGAAGACCAGAGAAAAACATCCCACGTCTGTAATTTTTTATCGTCAGGTCAGGCTAGTGAAGCTACCTTTTGGATCAGCTCCTCGGCTGCCTCTTCTGCTTGTTCCAAAATCGACTCTTCCTGCAGTTTACCAGGGTACCATAATTTGTGTTAGAAAATTAATGAGTTATGAAAAATGAAATGCAGAAATTAGAAGCCAACACTCTGACGGAAACATGCATGTCTTCAAGTAGGATATACATTAACACTTTTATGGGGAACATTCAGAAAGTTCAATATCGGATTTAAACTCGATAAAACAGGTAAGACTTGCTCACTGACCAGAGATCCGCGAATCAGAACACAAGCAATTTTTATTATTTCGAATAACTTTAGTTGATATTTTGTATCCATAAAAATATTTTAGTCCAAGAGTCACTGCGACGGTAGACTAAAGGTGCGCAATTTTATAGAGCTGGCTGAATCAGAAGTCATGGAAGATATACTTCGTTATAAATCAATAATTCGTAAAGTATGTTGAAAATAATTAAGATAATGTTTCCCTACNNNNCAAAAATAATAAGTAATTAAAATAATTTGCTTCTGCATACTTACTGCATCATGTTAGGGAGGGTATAACATCAATTGTGTGCTTAAGTCCGTTAAAAATATTTAAGATAGTATTTCCCAACAGAAATTTTAAGTAATAAAAATAATTTGCTTTCTGCATACTTACTGCATTCTCTTTTCTTTCTTTAACAACTACACACTGTGAACCACTGATGCTTGCACTCTTCAACAAACTACGAGCACTAGAATTTGGTCTATTGATGCCACTTTCTGTTTCCTGCACTTGTTCTGAACCCTCGCCTAGCTGTGTCTTTGAAGGACTTCCAGAGGTGGCATGATCATCGGAAACTCCTTCATGGGCTTCATCTTTTTGTACAATTACCCTCTCCCTAAATAAGGAGCAAGCAAAATCACACATGTCAATGAAATACAACATGAAATATTGATAAGCTTTGACATGCTTTTCTTAACATGACTACAAATAAGCTAGCTACCTGACGAAGATTAAGATGCAAGTCATGAAATTTAACTTTGAAACCATTTCTGAGTTTTGCTATACTATTCTTGCCGGATTGAGTGTACTGTCTAAGTACCGAAGTAGCACACTAGCTGGACAAGCTAGTATTTGTACCTTAAACAGGTGACAGATTGATTTTATAGTCTGTTTTCATCTAATTCCCAAGTAAAACATAGCACAAAAATAGCATTAACTTCTATAAGTATATATGATTTGCATATGTATCAGCTGGGCCTGGGTGTAGCCTCCCACTTAAATTGTGAATATCAAAAAATAGTGGACAATTTTTAGGTTCTAACTCTGTAGAGAGGACATTAACATATAAATAAAAGGCAAGCAAGTTTATATGCTATCAGATACATTAAGATGTCTTTCTCTACTGAATTGC